AGAGGGCCCGTGAGGGCCTTCAAGAGGCAAACATCGGCCCATTTCCTTTTGTAAAACGTACATTTTCGGCATGCTCGCTGGCTTCGTCTTCACAGTGCCCCAGACGCCCCCGAGGAGCCCCAACACAGCCCAAGAGACCCAAGAGGGCCCCAGACGGCCCAAAAGGGTCGTCCTGTGGGGCTCACGGAAGCCCCCGAGACGGCCCAAGAGGCCCCAAAGCCGGTCCAGAAGGCTCCCAAGACAGCCTCAGGGAGGCCCAAGAGGGCCCCGTTCGAAATCATGTTCCCGGAAGCCTCTCCGAGAATATGATTTCCGGGTTCCCAGGGCCCCCTGACAGGCCCCAGGACAGCCTCAGCGAGGCCCAAGAGGGCCCGAGATGGCTTCAAGATTGCCGAAGAGGGCCTCAAGAGGGCCTTCAAGAGGCAAAAATCAGCCGGTCCCCGTAGTTAAAACGTACATTTTCAGCATATTTGCTGGCTTCGTCTTCGCAGTGCCCCAGACGCCCCCGAGGAGCTCCAAGAAAGCCCAAGAGAGACCCAAGAGGGCCCCAGACGGCCCAAAAGGGTCGGCCTGTGGGGCTCACGGAATCCCCCGAGACGGCCCAAGAGGCCCCAAAGCCTGCCCAGGAGGCCCGCAAGACGGCCTCAGGGAGGCCAACGAGGGCCCCGTTCGAAATCATGTGTCTCTAGTACACGATGACCTCGAAGTATGTCGTGCGTGAGAGCGGGATACTCTTTTCCTCACTAACAATGAGCAGGGTGCAACATCGATCACCGCGCCTAAGCCAATGGCTTCGGAGGAGGGTAAGAGAGGGAGACGAGACACCCAGACTCTAGGGGCTCGAGGGGCCATCTGAGAACAGCGGGCCTAACTTTAGTTGCCCGAACTCCGAAACCTCCCGCTTCCAGAAAGACTGGTTCTGTTTCATCTTCAGGCTCCTCCTCCTCTTCCTCTCTACGTCCTCGACGGCTTCTTCCTCCTCGGCAACCTCCTCCCTCCTCCTCTTGCCTTTTCCGAGCCTTCTCCTCGTCCTCGGACGCCTTAGAGAGTGCCTTAGCTTCCAACAGCCTCTTGGAGGCTCCGCGAGACCTATTTTTGAGAGAGCCATTCAGAGCCCGCTCGTCTGCATGCCCCTCATCGATGAGACAAAGCGTTCCCTTAGTCAGCACGTCATGAAGTGCAGCATTCCCTCTGGCCGGATCCACCTTGGTAAGAGGGTCGGCCGGCATCATGCCATGTGGCATCCACCTCAGTTGCGACCCAATTCTTGCCCCATCAGCACTCCCAAGAGTGCCTCCAGAAGCAAAATTGGCCCTATTCCCTTCGGAAAGCGTACATTTTTACGATGTTCACCGCTTCGGCGTCGACAGCGTCGAAGACGGCCCCAGGAGCCGTCCTCGACGCGGTCGACGCTCCAAGACGGCAAAAGAGAGTTCCCAGAGGCCTCCAAGACAGCTTGAGAGGGCCCTCGACTGTCCAGGAGGCCCCCAAGACGGTCCCAGAAGGCTCTGGGACAGCTTCCCCACACAGCCCCGAGGGGTACCCCACCCGACATTTCGAGCCATCCTCCCCCAACAAACACTCCAGAGACCCCAATAATCCTCCAAGAGCCCCCGAAACAAACCTCAAGCGGGCCCCACGGGGCCGCCAGGAAGCCCCAAGAGGCTCCCGAGAGCCCTCTCCCCAGACACCCTGAGGTACTCTGGCCGATCCCGAAGCTTCGGACAACTCTCGGCATCCTGACGCCCCCAACGGGCCCCGGGGCTGTCAACGCCTATGGAAGTTGTCCGGACCTCAGGGCCGCTCCAGGGACCCCGCATTGAAAAAAACACGAAATCGGAACTCTTGGTCAGGATGACAAGCCGGTCCCGTGGAAGGGGCCAGACTTCAGGAGCCGACGTATAGCCAAAAAAACACGGCGCCGGAAGACCGGGCATCCCTCCCTCCTCTCATCCCTCCCCCCAGACCCCCTCGCGTCATCAAAGGATCACGACGGGAGGTTTGCGGCCGTCGGCGGCGTTGGCGGCGCCGTCGTCGTCGTCGTCGTCGTTGTCGTCGTGGTCGTGGTCGTGGTCGTGGTCGTGGTCGTGGTCGTCGTTGTCGTCGTCGTCGTCGTTCCAGCCAGGACCAAACCTGGGCCCAGGATCGGCGGAGACGCCGTCGTTTCGGCAGGCCCAGGGGGTGCGTCCATCGATCCCAGGCCAGGGACCTGCTACAGGCCGTCGTGCTTCGAGGATCGAGACCCGAGGCTCTTGGACGTTCGTCTTTTCTGTTGTGTTGTGCCTTCGGGGAGGCTTCATGTCGCCACGGCTGGACCCCCCGCGAAGTTCCGATCAGATCCCGCCCCGGGACAGTTCCTGGGGGCGCGCGCGAGCAGATGATTGCCTCCTCTCTTTCCTCCTCCTCCCTCTCCTCCTTCTCCCGCTCCTCCTCCTCCTCCTCCTCCTCCTCCTCCTCTTCCAGCTCCTCCTCCTCCTCCGCCCCGAGATCTCCGGCGCCATGCTCTCCTCGCTGCGCGGGCCGCTGGAAGCTCTCGAGCCTGCCCCCGGGGCCAGCCTGCCGCAGCGTTCCTCCTCTGTTCGCCCAGGGGCCCAGGAGTGGCCTGCGGGGGCACCGAGGCCACAAGGAGAGCGCGGGGCCCGTCGTGATCCCCTCGCGGCGCCCCGAGGTCCGGGCGGTCGGCGCCTCGTCGTCGTCGTCTTCTTCGTCGTCGTCGTCGTGGTCGACGCCGTGGTCGTCGTCGTCGCCGTCGTCGTCGTCGTCGTCGTCGTCGTCGTCGTCGTCGTCGTTGTTGTCACCGTCGTCGTCGTCGTTGTCGTCGTCGCGGTCGTCGTCACCGTCGTCGTCGTCGCCGTCGTCGACGTCGTCGTCGCCGTTTCAGCCGCCGTCGCCGTCGTCGCAGTCGCTGTCGCCGTCGCCGTCGCCGTCGCGGACCAATCCATCGAGGATCGGGGTTCAAGGAAGATTTTGATTGCTTTCAGCCTCCAAGGGCCGCCCCTGGGCCCCAGGTTTTCCGGAAACGGTTCCAGGGGGAAACATAAACGGCACCGAACAGACCCGGGAAAGAGTCTAGGGACGCATTCGGAGCAGCTGTCTATGTGTGACCGCCGAGGTCGTCGTCGGCGTCGGCGTCGTCGGCGTCGGTGCGTCGGGACCTTGGGCGGGGACCGCGGCTACATCCTGCCCTGACTCGGCCCACGCGGGGTCGGGAGCAACACAAAGAAAAACAGGAGGAGGATGGAGAGGCGGAGGTGGAGGAAATGGAGGCGCAGAACAGGGGCAGAGGAGGGAAGAAGAGGAGGACGAGGAAGAGGAGGAGGAGGAGGAGGAGAAGGAGGAGGAGGAGGAGGAGGAGGACAGCTCCAGACCGAATCACTGTGTGGACATTGTCGTCGTCGACGTCGTCGTCGTCGTCGTGGTGGTGGCGGTCGTCGTCATTGTGATCGTCGTCGTCGTCATCGTCGTCGTCGCCTTCGTCGTCGATCGTTGCCGCTCCCGTCGTCGTCGTCGATGATGACACGAACGCAAATGAGAGCTGCTGCAAAACGTGGCGCAGCCGTGACTAGGACCTAAGACCGCGCGAGGCGCGCGCGCGGTTGTAGTATATTCCCCAATCAGAACTTGCCTCTGTAGGGGTCCTGAAGCAGATTTTAAAAGGGTTAGGATTTGTTCGGCAGGATTTCGGTGGCTGCGTGCCCGGCTGCCCGGGTGCCCGTGGGTGCCCGGTGCCCCAGGGTTTCGGTGGCCGGGTGCCCGGGTGCCCGGGTGCCCAGGTGCCCGTGGGTGCCCGGGTGCCCGGGTGCTCGGGGGCGCCCGGAGGCGCGCGGGGGTACGCAGGTATTTTATAGCCATACAGCCTTATCGCCCTATAGATCTATAGCCCAATAGCCCAACAACCCAATAGCCGATATTGCCCATATAGCTTTATAACCCAATAGCCCTTTGGCCCTATAGCTCAATGGCCCTATAGCCTTATAGTTCTATGGCCCTATACCCCTAGAGTCCTTGAGCCCTATAGCTCTAGAACCCTATAACCCTATAGCCCTATAGCTCTATAGCCCTATAGGGCCTATAGCCCTATAGTCCAATCGCCCCTTTATAGCCCAATAGCCCATATAGCACTGTACCCCTATAGCAATATAGCCCATATAGCTTTATAGCCCTATAATCCCATAGCCCCATAACCCCAAGAAAAGTCTGATGGGGGTTTTCTACGGTATCATTTATGTACTTATATCGATGTATATGTACAGTGTGTGTCTATATTTCTATATATATATAGATATATGTGTTTACATCAAGGTTGTCTTGTATTTGAGTCGAGCATTCGTTCATTGAGCGGAGGAGCCCCGTCGATCATACTACAGGACGCGGAGGATGAGAAGGATACGTCGGGTGGTGATGATGATGGTAGTGGTGGTGGTGATGGTGGCGATGCTGTTGATGATGATTGTCGCGGAGGGAGGGGTCATGCTGATGTTGCTGATGAAGATGATGTTGATGCGGTTGATGATGACGACAACGGTGATGATGATGCTGCTGGTGAAGATGATGCCGAGGAGGAGGGGGAGGAGGAGGGTAATGAGGATCATGATGGAGATGATGATTATGATGATGATGTTGTTGTTGATGATGATGATGGTGGTGGTGGTGGTGGTGATGATGATGATGCTGATGATGATGGTGATGATGATGATCAGGGGGAGGAGGAAGAAGGGGAGGAGGAGGAGGAGGGAGGAGGATTAGGAGGAGGAGGAGGATGAGGAGGAGGAGGAGGAGGAGGAGGAGGGGAGGAGGAGGGAAAGAGGAGGAGGAGGAGGATGGGGGTAATGGGGAGTATTGGGAGGAAACGGAGGAGGGGGAAGGAGGTGGGGTGAAGTAGTAGCCAGAGGAGGAGGCGGAGGAGGAGGAAGAGAAGGATGAGGAGGAGGAGGAAAAGGAAATGGCGGAGGAGGAGGGCGAGGAAGCCTCGATGGGTCGTGGGGAAAATCGTGGGGGCCAGGCCGCCGGGCGTGGCCTCGTCACGCTGGAGCTGACGCGGAAGGACCGCCCGCTACTCGCCGTGGGATCGTCGTCGTCGTCGTCGATGGTAATCGGTCGTCGATCGTCGATCGTCGTCGTCGTCGTCGTGTTGGTCCTTCTTGGGGGCCTTCTTCTCCTCGAGGTCTTCTCGTCCTCGTACTCGTCCTTCTCGTCCTCATCGTCGTCGTCGTTCCTCGTTATCCTTGTCTTCGTCCAGAATCGTTTGATTTCCGATGGGATCATGTGGACTGCCAGGGAAGCTTCAGTATCATTTCGGACATCGGCGTGAAACTGAAGAGGTTCTGATGGGATCACGAACGAACCGTTCTGAATCTGGAGGATTCTTGTGAAGTCCCCCAGGAGCAGGAATCCTAAGTGGGCGATATATCCGCATGGGAGCGGGGGTCCGTTGGACGGTTTCGCTAGGGAGGCGCCAGAGCCGACTGTCTTGTTTTTACTCTGGACCTCAGGCGCTCCCCGTGGATTTCGGCAGACGCGTGTGCACTTCGTTTTTTTTGTTGTTCTCTCTCTCTCTCTCTCTCTCTCTCCTTTTTTTGCAGAGGATTCTCCCACGACGCACGCGCAAGGGCGTTCGACAGATCTCGGCGTAAGCTTTTTTAGCAACTCAGTGTTGCAAAGCCCTTTGTTTTTGTAGGTTGTTAGGAAATACGATTGCGAAATCCTTTCGAAACCGATGGGTTTTTTGAGGATTTCGGCATGCGCGCGCGCGACGGCGCGCGCGTGTGCACTTCGTCATTTTTTTTGCAAGAGATTCGTGGAAAGTGTTATGTCAGAACAAACGATGTCCCCGCGTATTGTTTATACCTAGCAGCTTTTGCTGATAGGTTTCTAGTGGGATCAAAACGGAGCATCTTGACGCCCCAGGGCGGTCCTCGGCGGGATCTGGACAGGGATCCGGACAGATTCGGACAAAAGTGCAGCCCCAGGAATCCTTAGGAATCCTTGGGGATCCTTAGGAATCTATTCCCAGAACACCATTCCCAGGCCACATTTCGAATGCCCGGAGCCAACTGTAGGCCACTTCGTGTTCTTCGTGTTCCCAGAACATTATTCCCAGGCCACATTTTGATTGCCCGGAGCCAGCTGTGAGCCACTTCGTGTTCTTCGTGTTCCCAGAACACCATTCCCAGGCCACATTTTGATTGCCCGGAGCCAACTGTAGGCCCCTTCCTGTTCTTCGTGTTCCCAGAACACCATTCCAAGGCCACATTTTGAATGGCCGGAGCCAACTGTAGGCCACTTCGTGTTCTTCGTGTTCCCGGAACACAATTCCTGTACCATATTCTGATTGCCCGGAGCCAACTGTTGGCCGCTTCGTGATCTTCGTATTCCCAGAACTCCTGTGCCATATTTTGAATGCCCGAGAGGCTGACGCCGAGGCAGGCTGAGGCTGAGGCTGAGGCAGGCTGAGACTGAGGCAGGCTGAGGCTGAGGCTGACGCAGGCTGAAGCCGAGGCAGGCTGAAGTTGAGGCCGAGGCAGGCTGAGGCTGAGGCAGTCTGAGACTGAGGCTGAGGCAGGCTGAGGCTGAGGCTGGGGCTGATGCAGGCTGAGGCTGAGAGGCTGACGCTGAAGCTGAGGCAGGCTGAGGCTGAGGCTGAGGCAGTGGCTGAGGCTGAGGCAAGCTGCCGCTGAGGCAGGCTGAGGCTGAGGCTGATGCAGGCTGAGGCTGAGGCAGGCTGAGGCTGAGGCTGAGGCAGGCTGAGGCTGAGGCTGAGGCCGAGGCAGGCTGAGGCTGAGGCCGAGGCTGAGGCTGGCTGAGGCTGAGGCTGAGGCTGAGGCTGAGACAGGCTGAGGCGGAGGCTGAGGCAGGCTGAGGCTGAGGCCGAGGCAGGCTCAGGAGTCTGAGGCAGGCGCAGGCTGAGACAGGCTAAGACTGAGGCTAAGGCTGGCTGAGGCTGAGGCTGATGCAGGCTGAGGCTTCGAGACTGACGCTGAGGCTGAGGCTGAGGCTGAGGCTGAGGCAGGCTGAGGCAGGCTTAGGCTGAGGCTGAGGCAGTGGCTGAGGCTGAGGCAAGCTGCGGCTGAGGCAGGCTGATGCTGAGGCTGATGCAGGCTGAGGCTGAGGCAGGCTGAGGCCGAGGCTGAGGCAGGCTGAGGCTGAGGCTGAGGCTGATGCAGGCTGAGGCTGAGAGGCTGACGCCGAGGCTGAGGCAGGCTGAGGCTGAGGCTGAGGCCGAGGCAGGCTGAGGCTGAGGCTGAGGCAAGCCGAGGCAGGCTGAGGCTGAGGCTGAAGCTGAGGCAGGCTGAGGCTGAGGCTGAGGCTGTGGCTGAGGCTGAGGCAAGCTGCGGCTGAGGCAGGCTGAGGCTGAGGCTGATGCAGGCTGAGGCTGAGGCAGGCTGAGGCTGAGGCTGAGGCAGGCTGAGGCTGAGCTGAGGCTGAGGCAGGCTGAGGCTGCTGAGGCTGAGGCTGAGGCCGAGGAGGCTGAGGCTGAGGCAGGCTGAGCTGAGGAGGCTGAGACAGGCTGAGGCTGAGGCTGAGGCAGGCTGAGGCTGAGGCAGGCTGAGGCTGAGGCCGAGGCAGGCGAATCCGTCGGAGTCCTTAGGATCCCCTGGGAATCCTTAGGAATCCCTAGGAATCAGGATTCCCAAGGATTCCTAAAGTTTCCTAATGATTCCTGTGGATTCCTAAGGGTGTGTAAGGATGCCTTAGGAATCCCTAGGAATCCTTAGGATTCCATTGGATCCTAAGGCCGTTGCCACTGCGACTGTCATTGCGAATGCGACTGCGACTGCGAGAACAGCAGAATTCTACAACTGGATTCTCACTTGAATCTTAAGGGGAATGCTTCCAGATATGCTTATACACATCGCTGTTAGGTTGCTTTGTCGGGATAATTTTCAAGGGAACCTCAGGGGGGTCGATACCGGCCCCCCTGGGATAGTGCAAATTCATACTTAGGATGGACATGTGGTCATAATCCTATATGATTTACATACCCGAAAGGGAGACGATAACGCCGGGGGGGGGGTAGAGTCTATTTTTTTAGAAAGGAGAATCCACTTTGACCGTCTTGAAGCTGTCCTCTCCACTGCTCGTGCAAACATCCCACACTTCCTCCCGCAACTTGGTCGCAAGACCTCTTAAGACAAAACCGTGACGGTAGGCACCACATGACACTTGGCCACGACACCGACGCCGACGACGACAGCGACAACGACGACGACGGCGCCGCCGACACCGACTACGACGACACCGACGACGTCTCCAACGACTTCGACGACGACAAAGACGACGACACCGACGACGACGACGCCGACGACGACGATGACAACGCTGACGACGACGCCGACGACGACGCCGACGACGACGACGAAGACGACGACGACGTCGCCAACGAAGACGACGACGAGGGAGGAGGGAGGACGACGACGGCGACAACGACGACAACGACAACAACGACGAGGGAGGAGGGAGGACGGCGACGACGTGAACGACGAAGAAGGAGGAAGGACGGTGACGCCGACGACGACAACGACGAGGGAGGAGGGAAGACGACGACGACGACAACGACGACGACGACAACGAAATATGAGGGACGACGACGAGACGCCGACGACGGACGACGACGACGACGAGGGAGGAGGAGGAAGGACGACCACGGCGACAACGACGACGGAAGCGACCACGACGCCAAAGAGGACGACGACGACTAACACGAGGAAAGACAGAGGACGACGTAGGCGACGACGACGACGACGACGCGGGAGGAGGGAGGACAGCGACGACGACGACGACGACGCAAGAGCGCGCGCGCACGCTTTTGTTGAAAATCCGTGTTGCGAAACCGCGTGTTTTGTAGGCTTTTTGGACACACGATGTTGAAATCCTTCCGAAACCAATGGGTTTTGAAGGATTTCTGCATACGCGCGCGACGACGCGCGCGTCTGCACTGCGTCCCATCTTTGGCAGAGGATTCTCGCGACGGCACGCGCGCAAGGGCGTTCGACAGATTTCGACATGCGCGCGCGCGAAGCCCGTTTGGTAGCATGTTGTGACTCTGTCTTTTTTGTTATACAGATTTCGCAAGAGCTCGCGCGTAAGCTTTTTTACCTAACAGCTTTTGCTTATAGGTTTCTAGTGGGATCAAAAGAGATGATCTTGACGCCACAGGGGGGTCTGGGCGGGATCCGGACAAGGAACTGGACAAAAGTGCAGCCCCAGGAATCCTTAGGAATCCTTGAGAATCCTGAAGAATCCTTAGGAATCCATTCCCAGAGCATCGTTCCCAGGCGACATTTTGACTGCCCGGAGCCAACTATAGGCCACTTCGTGTTCTTCGTGTTCCCAGAACACCATTCCCAGGCCACATTTTGAATGCCCAGAGCCAACTGTAGGCCACTTCGTGTTCTTCGTCTTCCCAGAACACCATTCCCAGGCCACATTTTGAATGCCCGGAGCCAACTGTAGGCCACTTCGTGTTCTTCGTGTTCCCAGAACACCCGTCCCAGGCCACATGTTGAATGGCCGGAGCCAACTGTAGGCCACTTCGTGTTCTTCGTGTTCCCAGAACATAATTCCCAGGCCACACTTGGAATGCCCGGAGCCAACTGTAGGCCACTTCGTGTTCTTCGTGTTCCCGGAACACTAATCCCTGTACCATATTTTGATTGCCCGGAGCCAACTGTAGGCCACTTTGTGATCTTCGTGTTCCCAGAACACCAGTCCTGCGCAATATTTTGAATGCCCGAGCTGAGGCAGGCTGAGGCTGAGGCAGGCTGAGGCTGAGGCAGGCTGAGGCTGAGGCTGAGGCTGAGGCACGCCGAGGCAGGCTGAGGCTGAGGCTGAGGCAGGCTGAGGCTGAGGCAGGCTGAGGCTGAGGCTGAGGCAGGCTGAGCTGAGGCTGAGGCCGAGGCAGGCTGAGCTGAGGCCGAGGAGGCAGGCTGAGGCTGAGGCTGAGGCTGATGCTGAGGCTGAGGCTGAGGCTGAGGCTGCAGGCTGAGGCTGAGGCTGAGGCTGAGGCTGAGGCTGCTGAGGCTGAGGCTGAGGCAGGCTGAGGCTGAGGCTGAGGCCGAGGCAGGCTGAGGCTGAGGCCGAGGCAAGCCGAGGCAGGCTGAGGCTGAGGCTGAGGCTGATGCTGAGGCAGGTTGAGGCTGAGACAGGCTGAGGCTGAGGCTGAGGCAGGCTGAGGCTGAGGCAGGCTGAGGCTGAGACCGAGGCAGGCTCAGGAAGGCTGAGGCAGGCTGAGGCTGAGGCAGGCTGAGACTGAGGCTGAGGCCGGCTGAGGCCGAGGCAGGCTGAGGCTGATGCAGGCTGAGGCTGAGAGGCTGACGCTGAGGCTGAGGCAGGCTGAGGCTGAGGCTGAGGCCGAGGGAGGCTGAGGCTGAGGCTGATGCCGAGGCAGGCTGAGGCTGAGGCTGAGGCAGTGGCTGAGGCTGAGGCAAGCTGCGGCTGATGCAGGCTGAGGCTGAGAGGCTGATGCAGGCTGAGGTTGAGGCAGGCTGAGGCTGAGGCTGAGGCAAGCTGAGGCTGAGGCTGAGGCTGATGCAGGCTGAGGCTGAGAGGCTGACGCTGAGGCTGAGGCCGAGGCTGAGGCAGTGGCTCAGGCTGAGGCTGAGGCCGAGGCAAGCCGAGGCAGGCTGAGGCTGAGGCTGAAGCTGAGGCAGGCTGAGGCTGAGGCTGTGGCTGAGGCTGAGGCAAGCTGCGGCTGAGGCAGGCTGAGGCTGAGGCTGATGCAGGCTGAGGCTGAGGCAGGCTGAGGCTGAGGCTGAGGCAGGCTGAGGTTGAGACTGAGGCCGAGGCAGGCTGAGGCTGAGGCCGAGGCAAGCCGAGGCAGGCTGAGGTTGAGGCTGAGGCTGATGCTGAGGTAGGCTGAGGCTGAGACAGGCTGAGGCTGAGGCTGAGGCAGGCTGAGGCTGAGGCAGGCTGAGGCTGAGGCCGAGGAAGGCGACTCCTTCGGAATCCTTAGGTTTCCCTAGGAATCCTTAGGAATCCCTAGGAATCAGGATTCGTAAGGATTCCTAAGGTTTCCTAAGGATTCCTATGGATTCCTCAGGATGCCTAAGGATGCCTTAGGAATCCCAAGGAATCCTTAGGATTCCATCGGATCCTAAGGCCGTTGCCACTGCGACTGTCATTGCGAGTGCGACTGCGACTGCGAGAACAGCAGAATTCTACAACTGGATTCTCACCTGAATCTTAAGGGGAATGCTTCCAGATATGCTTATACACATCGCTGTTAGGTTGCTTTGCCGGGATACTTAGCAACTCAGTGTTGCGAACCCCGGTGTTTTTGTATGTTTTTTGGAAGCTCGATTTCGAAGTCCTTCCGACACCGAAGGTTTTTGCAGGATTTCGGCATGCGCGCGCGACGACGCGCGCGTGTGCATTTCGTCCTTTTTTTTTCAAGGGATTCGTGAACAAATGTTATGTTAGAACAAAAAATGTCCCCGCGTATTGTTTTTTACAAGGGAACCTCAGGGGGGCCGATCCCGGCCCCCTGGGATAGTGTAAATTCATATTTAGGATGGACATGTGATCATAATCATACATGATTTACATACCCGATTGGGGGGCTGATAACGCCAGGGGGGGTAGAGTCTATTCTCTCTCTCTCTCTCTCTCTCTCTTTTTCTTAGAAACGAGAATACATACACATATATATATATATATATATATATATATATGGTGCAAGCCATGCTCTGTGTGATCCGAAAGCGCGCCGCAGGCGCGATTTTTTCCAGTATATGTGGTGGAATCCAGCGGTGGCGACGAAGCGGCGACGAGGCGCCAACGGTGCGGCAACGGTGACCAGACTGGCCACTCGGCCCAGACGACTGGCGACGACGAGGCGGCGACGAGGCGTCGGCGGGGCGAGACGGCGACAACATAGCCGCCAGACCGGCCACGCGGCCCAGACGAGTGGCGGCGACGAGGCGGCGACTGGGCGGCGACGGCGACAACATAGCCGCCAGACGGATCACACTGCCCAGTGTTTAGAAGTAAGAACCCCTAAGTATGAGCTTTCTGTGAAGAATGAACTGGAAAGTTTTGCTTGTTTGTTGATCTGATTTAAAGGTGACCGGTTGCTCCGGTCAGCAGAATTTGCCCCTTCAGGGATGTCTCGCCGCATTATGACCAGAAAACATATGAGGGAGGAGGAGCAGGAGGTGGAGGAGGAGGAAGAGGAGGAGTAGGAACAGGAATATTGGAGGAGGACATGTAGCTTGCGTCCCACTGAGACCCGAGAGCTTTCAGTCGCAACAGGAGGATCGGGGGTCTTGGTTGCGCTGGGCCTTTTGGGCTTCTGAATCAAAGGAAGAAAAGCCACCCGAAGCGGCCGTAGGCGTTTGCTAAACAGCCCTGCCCTGTTCGATTCTTATTTTGGGCGCGTTTATTAGACGGCCTCGTTTGCCGGGGTGGTTGTTATAGGGGTGGATTTTTTGCCCTCTACTGAAATCCCCATAGACCTCCAGAGATCTCCGGAGACCTCCGGAGTCGACGGTGCCAGCAGCAACGGCTGCCTCATCGCAGTCAGGGAGGGCGGGCTCTCGCAGGACCTCGACGAGCTGGGCCTGTCCACCAAGCTGAGGTTCCCGAAGCGCGCCGGCATGTACGAGGGCGTTTTCGGCAGGGACATGGGGAAGGACCGCGGCCGTTGTTTTTCAGAAGGGGAAAAACACAGGCACAATTAATCGTCGGTTCCCAGAAAATATAGGAAAATATGGGGATTGGGGGGGAGACGAAAGCCGAGAAAATATAGGAACATATGGGGAATCCTGGGATTTGTCTGTATTTATTTGTGTGTCCCTGGGCCCCTTCATTCTTGGAAGAAGTTCGCCATACCCTGCTCGCAGTTTTTCGGGCGCAAGCCACAAGAGATGACCAGCGCTGGCAGCCAGTGACTTTTTGGCAGAAGTCGAAACACGGCACGCATTTTGTCTTGATGCGGTGAGGGCCCCACTGTCGAGGTCGTTGTGTTCGACAGGGGCACGGGGAAGGACCGCGGTCGTCCTTTGCAGACAAGCTCTCGACATGCAGTCCAGACGCTGAACAAAAAAAACAATTTGGGTTCGGAAGAGGCTCGCTAGTCGTTAGGTCCGTCCATGGCTGCTCCTCTAGCCCTCCTCGTGCACGCAAGCGCTGTCAGGGCCAGAAAGGGACTTCGTTCCTTATTTAGTGTTCCTTATTTCATCGGCCCGACTGTAAGCATCAACTTTCGGTGGTCCTTGCGGATCTCTTGGATCGGCGCTGGACCCCCCTGGCGGCGCCTCCGGCGCTGCCCCCAGCGCGCTTCGAGCGCCAGGGAGGGGGGTCTGGCGCCGATCAAGGAAATCCGCGCGGGATTCCGAAAGTTTCTTTCTCTTTACGCATTGCTTGATCGTATCTCTCGGTCACCCGCGGCGGTGGCGCCACGATCGGGAAGGCGTCAACTATGCACCTGCGCCCATGCTGGCCAGTCCGATCCTGAGCCTAGGGTCGGTCTGCCCCCCTGGCTTGGCGAGGAAGGCACATGCACCGAGTGTGGGCTGGGAACCGGCTTGTCCAGGGTCTGTGTAAACAGAAAGCCAGCAACCCCTTCCTCCCTCACAAATCGGCCTTTGGACCTCTCTGGCAGGTCGTGCTGACCAGAGGTGCGCGGCGACGACCAAGCGTTCGAAAACCTCGAGCCTGAGAGCCTCCATCCTCGGCCCTCGATACCCAATTGGTGTCGGTATGCAGTTGAAGCCCTCCGACAAGACAATCGCGCCTCGCGCTTCGCGCCCACGGGCCTGGCGGGCCGTCCTTCTCCACGGGGGGGGGGTCGGCGCGAGAGGGCGCGAAGGCGAGCGCATCATGTGCGCCTCGGAGCGGCGCGAAGCCCGCGACGCTCGGTGGCGCAGGCCTGCGCGGGGATGTGCGACAGGGCCGCAGCCGTCCTGTCGGTGGCGGCCTGGCCGCCCCCCCGGGCAGGCGGACCGCTCCCCGGGCAGGCTGGCCCTCGAGGCCTCCACCCGTGGGGCCGGAGCAGCTGGGGTCGGAGGGCCGTGCCGCATCGCCGAGGCATCGGCGATGCGGCCCGACGTGGATTCCGATCTTCTGCACGCCAGCGAACGCCCAGCGAGGCATCCCACGTCGACACCGACACCAAGGACTTCCTCCTCTTCCCCCCCCTTCCTTTCTTCCCACTCAGGCTGACACGACCGACCCCAAGGACCATCCTCCCTCCGTCCATCCTAATTTTTTTGCGCATTTGTCTCGCATTGCATGTTGTCCGGACGCCAGATTCCCGAGGCCACGGACTCGCCCACCTGGTCTTGAGTGGGCCTGGACGCTGTCCGCAACGGTGGTCGCATCGCATCGCATTGCACGCCAGGGTCGTCGCGGAAGGGGGTTCGGCTCGCTGGGGGGGCGTCTCGTAGCTTCTCGACGTCGCGAGTCTTCTGTGGCGCGGGGCGTCTCATAGACTGTCGGCGTCGCGATTCTTCTGTGGCGTGGGCTCCCAGAGTTCTCGATCCCTTCCTGGGGGCTGTTTCTCATGGCGGAGGAGGAAAATGGAATGACATGATGATGATGATGATGATGATGATGATGATGATGATGATGATGAGGATGATGATGATGATGATGATGATGATGATGATGATGACAATGCTGCTGTTCATGATGCTGATGCCGATGCTGATGCTGATGATGATGACGATGATGATGGTTGTGGTGATGCTGATGCTGATGAAGATGATGGTGGTGGTGGTGATGATGCTGATGATGACGATGATGGTAATAATGAGGATGGTGATGCTGATGCTGATGATGGTGATGAAGCTTAACATGATGAAGCTGACGATGATGACGATGCTGCTGCTGATGATAATGATGATGATGAGGATCCAGATGATGCTGATTGTGATGATGATATTGATGATGATGATGATGATGATGCTGATGCTGACGATGATGACGATGATGCTGCTGATGATGACGGTAATGATGGTGAGGATGATTTTGATGATGTTGCTGATGATGATGTTGATGATGATGCTGATGCTGACGATGATGCTCCCGATGCTGGCAATGATGATGCTGATGCTAATGATGATTATGATAGTGCTGATGATGATGATGATGATGATGATGATGATGATGATGATGATGATGAGTCTGGTGATGCTGGTGATCTTGATGATACTGGTTATCATGATGATAATGGTCATGATGATGCTCATGATGATAATGGTGACGCTGCTGATGCTGATGCTGATGATGCTGCTGTGATTGTGCTGATGATGCTGATGCTGATGCTGATGTTGATGTTGTTGATGATGGTGATGATGATGATGATGATGATGATTATGTTGATGGTGATGATGACGACGATGCTGATGATGATGCTGATGATGATGATGGTGATGGTGATGCTGCTGCTGATGCTGATGATGCTGATGATGCTAATAATGATGATGATGATGATGATGATGATGATGATGATGATGATGATGATGATGCTGATGATGATGATGATGATGAGGATGCTGATGCAGATGATGATGATGAGGATGATGATGATGATGATGATGATGACAATGACGATGATGAGGATGATGATGATGATGATGATGATGATGATGACAGTGATGATGATGATGATGATGATGATGATGATGGTGATGCTGACGATGCTGCTGCTGATGATGATGATGATGATGCCGATGATGATGCTGATGATGATGACGATGCTGATGGTGATGATGATGCTGCTGATGCTGCTGCTGATGCTGATGCTGATGCTGATGATGCTACCGATACTGATGGTTACGATGCTGCTGATGATGGTGATGATTCTGATAATGATACTGATTACGATGATGATGCTGATTCTGATGATGATACTGATGATGCTGATAATGAGGATGCTGACGATTGTGTTGCTCATGCTGATGATGCTGATTATGCTGCTGATTATGATTCTGATGCCGCTGATGGTGATGATGATTGCGATGATGCTGATGATGATGATGATAATGATGCTGATGTTGATGATGTTGATGCTGCTAGTGACGATACTGATGTTGATGATGATGCTGCTGCTGATGATGATGATTGTTGTTGTCTTTGCTTTTATTACCATTCGCATTGTTTATTATGATTATGCTGATGCTGCGGATGATGATGAGGCTGATGCTGATGCTGATGCTGATGATTATGATGATGATGATAATACTGATGCTTATGGTGATGCTGATGATGATGATGATGATGATGATGATGAGCATGATGATGCTGCTGTTGATGATGATGCTGATGCTGATGCTGATGATGATGATGATGATGATGATGATGATGCTGTTCATGATGATGATGATTATGATGATATTGATGGTGATGGTGATGCTGATGCTGATGATGATGAGGAGGAGGAAGAGGAGGAGGAGGAGAAAGAGGAGGAGGAAGACGAGGTGGAGGAGGAATAATCAGAAACAGAGGACATGTATGGAGGATGGAGGAGGGGAGGAGGACGAGGAGGAGGAGGAAGAGGAGGAGGAGGAGGAAGAGGAGGAGGAGTAGGAGGAGCAGGAGGAGGAGGAGGAGAAGGAACTTAAACCAACTAAACATGTAGAATTATAAGGCAAATAAGGCAGGAGGAAGAATACTAATAAGCGTTCTAATATAAAAAGAAGACTAGTAAAAATACTTGTCAGAAGGCAAATCATGATAATAAGAACAACATGAATAATAAGATTACTGCTCATACGCAAAAGTCTATGGTTCTTATTAAGAGTAATAAGAATGATAGTCATAATGATATGAAAACCAGTGATAACATCACACCTTTAATACTTCTGTTAATCATGCAACCAAAAAAGGAATATTATTACATATAAACTTGCACACGCTAGGAATAGTACGAATAAGAATCAGAAAAAACAATAATTCGGATACTTAATGTAATAGTACCAATACGAATAAACATACAACTAATAATAACGATACTACTTCATATACAGTTCGGACTGATGATACTAATACTTCGACACAGGGTACTTATACTTATAATGATAAAGGCTAATAATAAGAAGAAACATACTAATAACTGTGTGGTCGGCGGGGCGAGAGCGAACCTCTTCCAGTAATAGCTAGGCGTGCTACGCACAGCTCTACTTGGGAAGACAGGTCACAGGCGGGCGGGGCCTCAGGCGGCCAGAGGGCGGGCCGGGGTGCAGGCGGTGCCGAGGAGCATGCACAGGAAAAGGGACGCCTTGGTCAGGAGCCGGAGGCGAAGATCCGGTACGTGCACGAGTTTGCTGCACTTCTTGCGTGCCTGTGCACCCTTCCATGTGCAGGCTAAACGTCACTCCAGCGGAGTACCGGCGGTGATTGGCTTCACTCCAGAGTTGACAAAGAGGATCCTTACCCACGAACTCGGCCCAAGCGGCACCCGGAACGCCTGGATCTGGCAAGATGAGTGTACGTGCACGTTCAAGACTGCCCTTGTCCCAGCCGCCAATCACGCCTGGTGGAGGCGAATCATGGCACGCTCTCCGTTCAGCGCTTCGTGCGTCAGGTCACAATGGCCGTATCTGGGCGCAGCAGCGTTCTCACGGACATTGGCTGACGTGGGACCACCACGGGGGGCCATGACGCCCGCGCAAGTGGACGCTATGATCAC